TCAACCAACCGGTGGTCGTATGTCAAGGAAGTGAACCTGGCGCAATCGGGCAGAATCTAGCAGAAGCGTTGAAACGAGAATGATTTTAGACCGGCCGGGCAGGCATGATCGGCCGAGCTTCAACCTTGCCGTCCACAACGGCCACCCGTCTCTTGACGGCATTGGTGCCTGATAGGATTGCACTGCCCTATTGATTGGGTAGCTTGAGGCCGCAAGCATATTTTAAACTGCTCTGGGGATGTCACCCATGGACGCACTCTGCGGATAGTTTCTGCAGCGGGCAGAGAAGGCTCAACATGCCCAGCGTATTTCACAAGCTTCAGGAGCGGACATGATTCCGGTGCCAAGCATTCCTCCCGCAATGCCCGCATCCACAATGCCAAAGGTCGACGAGCTCAGATCATCGACGCAAAGCTCGTCCCGTGCAGCTCGATCTGTCAACCTGCACTGCACTCTTTGCTTTCCCCAGGTTGTTTCGATGAGCTTGCCACAATGCTCAATGAACAAATACGAAGTGCATCTCCCGCACCCTGCAAGCTCGTGCTCCATGTCCCGGATCGACATGGACTGGGCGTCTTTCAAAGTACAGGCAATAATTCCGCGTGGACTGGGAATCGGGATGCTGATGTCCACCTCAGGAAGCGTCAAGGACACTTTCAGACTCTGCAGCCAGTCACTGCACGGCTGTGCCGGGATGCAGGCGTAGTCTCGCCAAACTGTCTCCTTGGTCCTGGCATCGCACAGCACTGGTCGACACTCTGGCCGCTCGGTTCGAACCAGAAAACTCCCCTTACTGGCCTTCTCCAGGCTAAAACCAGGTTAAAACCAGGTAAACCAACGCATTAAACCTACCAACCATGGTCGGAAAGCGGTCCCGTCGTCGATGATCGCGTTGACACCCGGTACCTAGACGCTGCTGACTGAGAGCTCGGAAACGGGCTAGAGACCAGAATGGGTTGCGGCCTCGGCCATCGTCAAACAACTGGCCTCCAAGCGTCGCTTTGGGGCAGACGCACACAACTGGCAGCTGTCATGTGCTGCCGGCCTTTATGATGAGCGACAGCACTCCGAGCTGTGGTCCATGAAGCTTCTGGAACATGTCCTGCCAGCAAGGAAAACAGTTGTGCGCTCAAGGCATCATCAACTGGCTCGGAGCTTTCTGCATGCTTGCTGGACTTCAAACCTGACAATGAATTTGCCAGATCTGTAAAAACGTACGAAAGTCGAAACTTTTGAAGGAAGAGACCTCAACGCGTCGAAATCTTGTAAGCTCGAAGCTTCGAAACCTTGAAATCTGGGGGGTTCCGTCGCCAGGTCTATACTAGTTTGCTGACAGGTCACTGCCATCTGGGGCAACACTGATTTTGGTGCCGGGCCAACGAAACGAAGCCAGAAACGATAAAAGAAGCCTTGCGGACGAAAGCCGCGGGAGAGGCACGTGTAAACAGGAAAGCACAGGAAATGAAGCAAATGCAGCGCAGCACATTGCACCAGCCAAGAGGATTCAAATCCCCAACATCAAAGAGCAATGGATCGAAGCCTCGCTACGACCCCAAAACATTAGAAATGCATGTAACCCATGTGTAAATGTATACATATATATATATATGTATACACACGTGTACATGTTTGTATATGGATATATATATATATGAGGCAGGGACCTTTACGTATAGTGTGATCTCTCCTTTCTGGGTCTAATATTAGTTCCTACACCACATTCTCTTAGTTATAGGGTTTAGGGCTTAGGAATTAGGATACCCAAGGTTAAACAAGGCTGAAATAAAAGGAACCAACGGGTGTGGATACTGTAGGCGGGCGTGGGGAAATGGAAGTATTCAACAAATATGCTTACTCACCCAAATTCAGGTTTAGGGTTCAGTGCTTAAGGTTTAGGCTCAGGGCTCAGGACTGGGCTTATGGTTTAGGCTTTAAGGTTTCGAGTTTAGTGAAAACTTATTTTAGGACATTATCTTCACAGAGCTCCTAAACCCAGACTCCCAGGCCAACCTAAAGGTAAGGATCATGTGAGCGACCACAATGAATTTGTATTTGAGCGCTTCTGGATAGTTATATAAGCCATCGTAAAAACTACGAATATCCACTTAATAACCCCAACCTCCTTCTCCACAAAGAAAGAGCTCAAGCCAGGAAAAAACTCGGGAAGAGGAGGCGATAGGTCTTTATGGGGAAGGCTTTAAGGTTATTTGGGGGCATACTTGGACCTCAAAAGTAGGTACAAGATAAAATTTCACTAGGGTTGATTGCAGGAGCCAGGGCGAGGGTTTGGGGTTTGGGTTTGGGGTTTTAACGTATGCGTTTTGTGTTTGGGGCTTCGGCTCTAGAGTTTAGAACTCCGGGATTGATCCCAACGTATGAAACCTAAACCCTTGGGGTCCCTGCAAAGATTTTATTCACCAAACATACCCTCACCTAAGTACTGTATCCGGGTGGGAGGACACCCCTGAAGATCAGAAGCACCCCCGCTGAATTCCTCTTTTGTGCTGGGGTAGGGCATCACCAAGCTACAGCAAGTCGCCAAATGCACATGTGCTCTTACGGCAGGTTGGACTCGCTCTGCGGGGTCTGTGCAGAACCAGAACGCCAAGCGCACTCCAGATCTTACGTGCAAACAAACTAGACCCAAGTGGTCTTTCTGAACTTGCCCGGTATCATAAATCACATGATTGAGCTAGCTAGCCTGTGCCATTGTTTTCTTTTACTTATGGAATATCCGAATGTGATGTCTGAGGGCTTGCACAAGCAAAAAGTGACCACTGCGCCAATTGCGCTGCGAGCCATCAACGTCCGTGCCCAAAGCCAAAAGCCTCGTTGCTAGTTGCTGATTAGCGAGGTCTGTGCAAAAGCAGAACGCCAAGTGCATTCCTCATCTTACACGCAAACAAAACTAGACCCAAATGGTCTTTCTGGACTTGCCCGGTATCAGAAATCACATGATTGAGCTAGCTGACCTGTGCCATTGTTTTCTTTTACTTATGGAATATCCGAATGTGATGTCTGAGGGCTTGCACAAGCAAAAAGTGACCACTGCGCCAATTGCGCTGCGAGCCATCAACGTCCGTGCCCAAAGCCAAGAGCCTTGTTGCTAGTCGCTGTTATTAAAACGACTAGAACTCAAACCGTATTCTGGACTCCTATGATGAACTTGAAAACTGCGCAATTCTGATTCTATTCACATATGCAAATTACGAGTTTTGCCGGTGATAAACACTTGCTTTTCATGGCCAGAAGGATTGCTGAGTCAATGGATCAAAGTGGTACCATCGGCCCAGCTGCGTACCTTCGATCGTGGAGTTAAAAAATGCCCGCTTGCACAGGTAAGGGATCTCAAGTCGGCCAAATCAAAAACATCAGTATCGTCCAACTTCGAAAGATAATTTATTTTGCCCCCCCAAAAAACTGATATTTGGCCAAGTTCACAAAATTACTATGCCCGTTGGTAGCCTCTGTAAGAAAAGTGCCCGTCGGTAGCTTCTGCAAGAGAAGGCTTTCGGGCCTTGAGCTCTCTACGGTTTGGACTCTTTAAAATTTGGATTTTGAGATGTCATGCTTGTGCTTCTTCGGATTTGACATCATTAGATTCGCCTTCCGTCCAAACGAAACTGTAATATCACTTCGAGCAGGTTTCTAGGTATGCGAGGGTTGACCTAAATTACTGTTGCCAAGAAGGCGGGAAATCATTGAAGGGATCCGCCTTACAGATGAAACTGCAATATAAGAAACCACATTACGACGATTTTTGTGCAATCCCCATGTTACCCACTTACCCGTAAGCTCCTACTTGTAACATGACTCTCAACATATACCGATTTTTCTTTAAGAAGTCTGTGTGATGGTGATTTTGCGACAAATTTTTTCAATAAACAAGAATTCTTTTTATTCGGTCAAAAAGGAGCCATTTTTTATTCTGAACAAATACGAACTTGACAATCTGCGGGACTCACACTTGATCCACTTCGGATTGGGCAAGCCACCAGCACCAGTCACAGGAGGCGCCTAATATTCATTGACACTGCAGCCATGATTCCCCGATTCCCCCTTGTTCGGAAATGTACAATGCTAAACAACGGAAACAGCGGTGATGATGATGCGCTAAGAGGCAGACTTCGTTTCAGGTCTAACGCTGCGCCCACCATCAGTAGTGGTAGTAGTGGTTCCACAAGAACCTCGCTCTTCCGAGCGCCGAGTGCAGGCAGTTTCCTGATCAAACTTGAAAGCAGATGGGCTTTGCACGAAGCCGAAAATGCTGATTGAAAGCTGAGCAACAAGCAGGCTTCTTCTCTATCTTCTTCGGCACCTTCTGCGCGCCACGCTTGTTTTGGTACCAGTCTTGCAGACGCTGCCAGCGACGCTCGGCTCGTTTGCCCATTATGTGAGAGCCGAGTCACGCAGCACACGACTTGCTACTACCTAATCATGGCCTAATCTAATGCTCTGCCGGCTGATGTCTTGTTGCAGACTGTTGCTTGTGATACGCTGCTACAACTGAGTGAGCTCGAGTAGCAAAAAAAAAGCGGGAATCACACAATGAATTCTTGCGTGGTCCCATGTGGAATTTCCATCTAGTTGGAGTGAAATCCTAGACAATCTATGAAAATTGGGAGATTTTTTCGTGAGATGGTCAAGACAGACTGTTCCTGATAATTTTTTGGGGTTTCCAAAAAGGGTCTGGAACAGAATTCGAGGACTTGTTCCGGACCTCTGGATCGCGGTCTGGATCGGGATGTGAATTTCCCCTTGATCCAGACCCATCATGTTGAGCAGTAGCCACATGGGTAGTTCTGAGAACTGCCCGCAACACTGCCAAACAAAATTGCAAGAAAGGCGGCCTCTAGTCTCCCTACAGCAACAGCTACCTAAAGAGCTACGTGAAGCTATAGTAACTGCTGAGTTAAATCCCCTACCCTCCCCCTATTTCAACTGTTAAAGTAAGGGGCATATTATAAAAGGTCAAGCTAACAGCTATGAGATTCCCCATATACATCCAGACCAGATAGAATCCTTACACAGTCCTCCATACCAGCCTTGAAGATCTAACCTGGACATGAATTTGAATGTTTGGGAACCACCGTAAATCCTACCAAGTCTATCTCGTGGTCGATACTTGGATGTTAGCGGTTCGTAGTAACTACTTATAACTGGGCCTATGACCTTATTCATAATTGGGGTAACCTATGTAGGTCCATATAAGGAAGTTATAAGTAGGGGTATAGGTCCTTTATAAGTAGCTACTAAGTCCCATGAATCTCCAAGTAAGGGCCTCCCTCCCGCAATAAGGGCCCTGCCCCCAAACGCAAGACCTCCAATAGGCTCCAAAAAGTTCGAATCAATGAGCTCCTGGATATCTATATGAGCTATCGTACAAAATTCCTCGTATTCCCTTAATAACCCCTACACTAGGATCCCTACGTAATAAACCCTAAACTTTTGGGGTCCCCGCAAAGCTTCTACCCACCAAACATACTCCTATTCAAGTGATGTATCCTGTGAGTGGTGGTACGGTTTGAAGATCAAAAGCACCCCTGCTGGTTCAACGACCGATGTGTGACGATGTTTGTGTGTCTCGCGCGCACGTCATCACATGATGCCTTGTTGGGACAGGGTATCACCAAACTACAGCACATCGTCAAATGCATATGTGCTCTTACGTCACATTAGACTCGCTCTGCGAGGCCTGTGCAAAACCAGAACGCCAAGCGCACTCCAGATCTTACGCGCAAACAAAACTAGACCCAAATGGTACTTCTGGACTTGCCCGTTATCAGAAATCACATGATTGAGCTAGCTGTCCTGCGCCATTGTTTTCTTTTATGTTCCGAATGCGATGTCTAAAAATGACCACTACGCCAACTGCGCTGCGAGCCATCAACGTCCGTGCCCAAAGCCAAAAGCCTCGCTGCTAATTGCTGATTAGCGAGGTCTGTGCAAAAGCAGAACGCCAACACATGCGATGTCTGAGGGCTTGCACAAGCAAAAAGTGACCACTGCGCCAATTGCGCTGCGAGCCATCAACGTCCGTGCCCAAAGCCAAGAGCCTTGTTGCTAGTCGCTGTTATTAAAACGACTAGAACTCAAACCGTA